AGAAAAAGTGGGGTAAATCCACATACATTACCAACAACAAATCAAAAACAAACAAGAATTAACACTCAATGGTCCTTAATTTCCCTCAATATTAATGGCCTTAATTTGCTTATAAAAAGACACAGGCTAACAGAATGGATACAAAAACAGAATCCATCCTTCTGCTTCATATAAGAAACACACCTCAACTTTAAAGACAGACATTAGAAAAGGGTTGGGATAAGATTTTCTGATCAGATGGACCCAAGAAACAAGCTGGTGCAGCTATCCTAGTATCTAACAAATTAGACTTCAAACTAAAATCAATCAAAAGAGATAAAGAAGGTTATTTCATATTCATCATAGGAAAAATCCATCTGGAACAAGTTTCAATTCTGAACATCTATGTCCAAAATACAATGGCACCCTGGTTCATAAAAGAAACATTACTAAAACTCAAATCACACATAAGAACTCACACAGATACAGTGGAAGACTTCAACACCCCACTCTCACCACTAGATAGGACCATGAGACAGAAACTTAACAAAGAAACAAAGGAACTAACAGAAATTATGACCCAATTGGGTTTAACAGACATCTACAGAACATTCCACCCAAACACAAAAGACTATACCTTCTTCTGAGCACCACATTGGACCTTCTCTAAAATCAACCACATACTCGGCAACATATCAAACCTCAACAGGTACAAAAAAATTGGAATAATTCCCTGTATCTTATCAGGCCACCATGCTTTAAAGTTAGAATTTAACAACAGCACTAAGTGCAGAAAACCTACAAAGTCATGGAAATTGAACAACGTGCAATTGCACCATTTCTGGGTCAAGGAAGAAATAAATTAAAGAGTTCCCAGAATTCAATGAAAATGAAGACACAATGAACCCAAACTTATGGGACACATGAAGGCAGTACGAAGAGGAAAGTTCATATTACAAAGTGCTCACATGAAGAAACTGGAGAATAGTCACACTAGAGAATTAACAGCACAACAGAAAGCTCTAGAACAAAAAGAAGCAAACTCACGCACAACCCCCCTACCCTGGGAGGAGTACACTACAGGAAATAATAAAACTGAGGATTGCAATCAATAAGTGGAAACAAAAAAAACTACATAGAATCAGTGTAACAAAGAGTTGGTTCTTTGAGGAAATCAACAAGATAGACAAACCTTTATCCAAACTAACCAAAAGGCAGAGAGAGAATATGCAAATCAACAAAATCAGAAATGAAAAGGGGGACATAAGAAGGGACACTAAGGAAATCCAGAGAATCTTCAGGTCATACTTTGAAAACCTGTAGTTCACAAATTCAAAAATTTAAAGGAAATGGGCAATTTTCTGGGTAGCTATCACTTACCAAAATAAAATCAAGAACAGATAAACAATGTAAACAGACCTATAACCCCTAATGATATAGACGCAGTCATCAAAAGTATCCCAACCAAAAAAAAAAGCCCAGAGTTAGGTGGCCTCAGTGCATAATTCTACCAGAAATTCAAAGAAGAGCTAATACCAATACTCCTCAAAGTGTTCCACACAATAGAAGTAGAAGGTTCATTGCCAACTCTTTTTAAAAGGCTACAATTACCTTGGTCCCCAAGCCACACAAAGAGACAATTAAGAAACAGAACTACAGATCAATATCACTCATGAACATTGATGATACTCAATAAAATACTGGTAAATCGAATCCAAGAACAAATCAGAAAACTCATCCACCATGATCAAATAGGCTTCATCCCAGGGATGAAGGAATGGTTCAACATATAAAAATCTATCAATGTAATCCACCATATAAACAATCTAAAAAAGAAAAACCACATGATCATATCTCTTTAATATTGTACTTGAAGTTCTAGCTAGAGCAATAAGACAACAAAAGGAGATCAAGGGGATACAAATTAGAAAAAGAAGAAGTCAAACTTTAACTATTTGCAGATGATATGACAGTTTACATAAGTGACCCAAAAAACTCTACCAGGGAACTCTTATAGCTGATAAACACCTACAGCAAAGTGGCAGGATACAACAGTAACTCAAAAAAATCAGCAGACTTACTATATATAGATAATAAGTGTGCTTAGAAAGAAATTAGAGAAACATCACCCTTTTCAATAGCCACAAATAACATAAATTATCTTGGAGTAATGCTAACCAAACAAGTGAAAGACCTGTATAGCAAGAACTTTGAGTCCTTAAAGAAAGAACTTAAAGAAGATAACAGAAAACTAAAAGATCTCCCATGCTTTTGGATAGGTAGGATCAACATAGTAAAAATGCCAATTTAACTAAAGTAATCTACAGATTTAATGCAATCCCATCAAAATACTGGCACATTCTTCCCAGAACTTGGAAGAACAATAATCAACTTTATATGGAAATGCAAAAGACCCAGGATGGCCTACTTCTGGAGGCATCACCATCCCTGACTTAAAGCTCTATTCTAGCGTTATAGTCCTGAAAACAGATTGGTATTAGCACAAAAACAGAAAGGTAGGCCAATGGAATCGAATTGAAAACCAGGATATTAACCTACACACCTATGAATACCTGATTTTTGATAAATCAGCTAAATCATACAATGGAATAAAGAAAGCATCTCCAACAAATGTTGCTGGCATAACCAGATGCTGGCATGTAGAAGACTACAGATAGATCCATGTCTTTCTCCATGCACAAAACTTAAGTTCAACTGGATCAAAGACCTCAACATAAATCCAGCCATACTGAACCTCTTAGAAGAGAAATTGGGAGGTACCCTGGAACGAATTGGTACAAGAAACTGCTTCCTGAACATAACACCAGTAACACATACACGAAGATTGACAAATAATAAACGAGACCTCATGAAACTGAGAAGCTTCTGTAAGGCAAAGGACACTGTTAAGAGAAGCTTTTTCTTTGAGAGGAGCCTTCTCGCCCGCCTGGTTCCAGATCCGCATCAGTCCCAAATAAACACACAGGAGGCTATATTAATTATGAAGCTGTTGGCCTTGCTTGTTTCTTACTAGCTAGCTCTGCCTTAAGTAATTACCCCATAATTGTTAATCTAAGTATGTTTCTTACCGGAGAATAGTTCTGGGCTTCCTACCCCCATGGCGGTTACATGTTGACTCTCTTGTGTTTCTTCTTCTCCCAATCCTCCTGGACTCCTAGTCCCTCCTATCTAGATTCCCTATTGGCCAGACAGTACTTTATTGACAAATGCACAGGCAAATAACAGGACTTCCCCAACATCTCCTCTTTTCTGTTTAAACAAAAAGAAAGGTCTTAACTTTAACACAGTCAAATTGTATATAACAGAACAGTTATCAAATAAGAACATAGTTACAATATTTTAGCATGATTTAAAGAAAATACCATCCATCCCATCTTTGTGAGTCCAAAGTCCTATATGTAGCTTATCTTTTATCATAACTAAGGAAAACTATAATTATAACCATCTGTCTTCAACTCCATCAAAGACCACAGAAGGATAATATATAAACACTAGGATTGACAGAGACATCTTACTGCCTGGACAGTCACCCGAAGTTCCACTGTAATGTTGGGGCATCCATCTTCAGCCCGTAGGCCACAATGTATCCAGAAGATTTCTCAGCCAAGCAGGAAATTTCAAACTGTCCATCTGCGTTGGCAGTCTGTCAGTCATTTTTCTTTGTCCTGCAGAAAGTCTCGTAGACTCTTCCATGAAGCAGGAACCCTGTAAGACTGAGTTCAGCATTCACTTTCCTGTGGGTCCTGCATGTCCAGTTTATACAGCAACAGTCAAACAGTCTAGGCAAGAGCAGTTTCTTGCCCAAATGGCTAATCTTGCCATGTTGAAAGCAAACTCCATAACAAGTTTCTTCGATGCCCATGTTCCTCTCAGACGTAATTAGTGCTGCCAGGAGCAGACATTTCTCATTGTCAAGAAAAGCCCTAAACCATTTTAAATGCCATTTTCTGAAGGTCTTTGAGAGGTTTGAAGACTGTTTATCTATCTCAAATATTTTTCTGTATATCTAGAAAACCTAACTAACCTAACTATAAGTTTTGACTATTAAAAGTAACTATCTATAGTCTGTATTCAATTATGCATTACGTTTTAAAAGATCAGTATAAGCACAATACTTAATCAAGAGGAGAAATATAAGCATCACAAAATTGACCTTGAATTTGTATCAATAAATGAAAAACAATACCCATACCATAACTCCCCTTTTTACCATTAAAAAAAGAGCGGCTGTGACATTAGCCAATTATAAACAATCCCATTTAAATGAAAACAAAGATTTATAACCAAGATGGGAATTGGGACGTCGCTCATTCCAAACTGCTTCATGCTGGAAGGGGGCGCTGTTCATACCATGGGGATCATGACAAAACTCAGAAACCTGTATAAGTCCGTATTTTCAGGGTCTGTAAAGCTGCATCATCTTAGCTGTTTCAGTTGTTGGAACACCTGGTCCACTGCTTCCGGGGGTCTTGGTTCGTCGAACCACAGAAGCCTGGAAGGAATCCTCAGCTTTTCATTTTCTGTAGAAACATAAGCAAGAACTCCTTTTCCGAGTAACATATCCTTATACTTAAAATTTGAAGTCAAGGCATTTTCAAAAGATAGAAGTTGGATTAATTCAGCAGCATTTATAATCAAGTGTACTTTAGCAACTGTTCCTTCCTGAGCAATTATAAAACTGCCCACTCCGGACACCATTATGTTAAGAGAAGCTTTTTCTTTGAGAGGAGCCTTCTCGCCTGCCTGGTTCCAGATCCGCATCAGTCCCAAATAAACACACAGGAGGCTATATTAATTATGAAGCTGTTGGCCTTGCTTGTTTCTTACTAGCTAGCTCTGACTTAAGTAATTACCGCATAATTGTTAATCTAAGTATGTTTCTTACCGGAGAATAGTTCCAGGCTTCCTACCCCCATGGCGTTACATGTTGACTCTCTTGTGTTTCTCCTTCCCCCAATCCTCCTGGACTCCTAGTCCCTCCTATCTAGATTCCCTATTGGCCAGACAGTACTTTATTGACAAATGCACAGGCAAATAACAGGACTTCCCCAACAGGACACAGTCAACAAGACAAAAAGGCAACCCACAGATTGGGAAACACCAGGGCAGAGGATGTTCATACCAGGGCAGACACTGCTCACACCAGGGCAGACACTGCTCACACCAGGGCAGACACTGCTCACACCAGGGCAGACACTGCTCACACCAGGGCAGACACTGCTCACACCAGGGCAGACACTGCTCACACCAGGGCAGACACTGCTCACACCAGGGCAGACACTGCTCACACCATGGCAGACACTGCTCACATCATGGTAGAGGCTACTCACTTCATGGCAGAACAGGAAGCAGGGACTGCAATTGGAACGAGGCCTCAGTGTTGTTTACAAAGTCCCTCTCTTAGTGATCTACTTCTATTAGCACAGCCCCAACTCACCTCCCAAGGTTCTCAAGCCTCCCCCAAATAATGCCACCAGCTAGGCAATCAACATTCAAAATATGAACCTATCGGGAATGTTTCAAATTTAATCCTTAGCAGTTTGTCCTGGACCCCACAAAGCTCACAGCCATTCCATAATGCAAAATGAATCCCCACAGCCTTACCAGTTCCAAAATTGTTTTTTAAAAAAATCCAAGTTCGAAGTCTCTTCTGAGACTCAGGGTTAAGTCTTAAGTTTGAGCTCCTGTAAAATAAAAAGAAAGTTATGTGCTTGGGATGCACAATAGCTCAGGGTGAACGTTCCCATTTCAAAACACAGGAATTGGGACACGAGACAGGAGGGATAAAACTAGCGCAAGACAGAAATCCAACAGAGCAGATGTTAAACCCTGCAACTCCGTGTTCATCATGTGGGGCACACAGTGGTACTGCATGAACTCCAGCACAGGCACCTGTGTCATCCTGTACCTATGTCTTAACACCTGCAGCCCACATGGGCTCTCTCCTAGGCTGGTGCTTAAAGCTGTCACTGGGCCACATTCCTGGAAACTCTAATATGTGGGAGCTTTCATTAAAATTGGGATCACCTCAAAATTGTAAACAGAACATTGTAAGGGTTTCACTGGGGAGAGTCCAACCCTGACATATATCCTGCCTAGCCTCGCAAGATTTCCTTACAAGTCCAGATAGAAGCTTCTGTAATCCTGTAGGTTTTATATCTGGAACCTGACCACTTCCCCACCCCGCCCCCGCACAAATAAACCAGCACTGCACATATAATTGAGTTATCTTGTAGCCGTATCAGGGCTTTGCCTGACCACAGTTTCAACAGTCTCAACTCAACATGGGAAAATATTCCTATTACTTGAAGAGAACACTAACATCATTCACCTCACAAAGGGAAACCTTCCCATTATACCGTAGAGCCTTTGGTAGATAGGATAGCACCAGCATCTGAAATGCTACCACAGTGCCCTTCATGTCATCCCGGCAAACTTGACTTTTTTTTAATGATTCCATTCCCTTAATAGCTACAACTTCCTGTACAAATTTGAATGTGCAATTTATTTTTTTACACAAAAATCACATCTTTCTGCTTTGCTTTATATTTCCGATGTGCACTAAAAACCTGGCTAAAAGCAACTGGTAGCAACCCTGCTGGTAAGTTATCTTAAAATCTCCGTCACAAAACTAATTAGCTAATTACTCTTGACAGTTGTCTATCTCACCAGAAGCACCCACGAAGCTCCACTGACAGCATCCTCATCTCTAAATGTTGGCCCTAAATCCCTCCCATTAACCAGTTTCAAAGGCTTAAGAAACGCATAGACATGGGGGTGGGGATCCCAGCTCTCTACCTTCCAAATCTGTATTTATCAGTGTTATTTAGAGGAACTTTGCCAAGAGAATAATAAATAAATTATATGTACATGGATACACATGATGTATACACACAGGTAAATATAAACTTTGTGTGAGTCCTTGTAGAAAGACTGAAGAAAAAGCAGCATGGTGGCCTCAGACCATGACAGTTGTGACAGTTGTCTCTATTTAGGGAGAAGCGAGTCTGCATTCCTGTGCTGGCTGCTTCTTTCACCTTTTCTGTCCCCACACTCAGGGTGGCTCTGACATGCTCCTAAACTCTATCCTACATGTCACTGAGCAGGCTAGAGACTGATACGTCATCCAACTCTGAGTCAGCATCTTCCCTTTGACTATGTGATTGGGCCTGGTATGGCCTTTACATCTATAATCTCTGTACCCTTTGGGAACATCAAACAGCAGCAAGAATCAATTACTGAATGACACGGTTTTAGCAGAAAGGTTCTCTGCTTTGGGGGAATTTACACCAGACCCAGGGAGTCCGAGATGGCTTCTAGAACAAAGAGAGATGCAATGCCTATCTAGAGCCTCAGAATATGAGTTACAGAGATTGAAAGGGCAGGAAGGCAGTCCAGGAAGAGGGCACCTGGAGCTTGGACAGCAGTGTAAATAACTATTAGTGCAGCTAATACAGAAGGCAATCTCAGTGCAGCTTGGCCAGGAAACAGGCCACAGGAGTGCGTACAGCCTCCCACAGAGCATCACTGGTGTGCGTGATGGCAGCGGGTGTTCAAAGTCATAATTTAAATGACCCTGCAAACCATTAGCGTCCAGGACCAGAATTGCTGTAGACATTATGCATGTATAATTGGGTCAAGGACACCTTTCTTAATTAGATCTGAAGTTCTTCATTTATTTTATTTTCTTTGAATAAAAGTCAAATTTTAGCCACCTCAAGTATAATGGCACTTTTATGCCATTTTTAAAGTGCTTTCAAATGCTTGGGCACACATGCTGACAGTTTCCTGTCTTAATGACAAGACTGGGACTCTGACCCAAGGAGCATGCACAAACCACCTGAAGGGACTCTATACAACATCCAGGTGGTACTGAGAGAAGGGACCATAACTCGCAGGACAGTTTCCAAACTGTGTTTTCTTCCTATATTCCACTCTGCATTCTATGGCGCTGTGGGCCCTACCAGCTGTCACTCAGCTTGGCAACATATCTAGTAGCTAACAATGTGATTAACTCCTGCTTTGGATGTGTTTTTCTGGTCCCACAAGCTCCTCTAATTGACTGCTGTGTGGACCTTCTTAGGTTGTTCTAAGTCAATATCAACCATCACATGTACCTTACATGTGGAATCACATGTACCTCATATGTAAACTATGTTCCAATGTTATATGCCTTTGGCAATGCTGTTGAAGGAATCCCATTCCCATATCAAACAATGAAACAAGTACATACAAGTACTTAGAAGATGGTTGGAAACTCAATGTCACAGACACTCCACCCCTGCTTGCTTTCTTGTCTCTGAAAAGGACTGTATTAACTACTCTTCTTACGGTTGTGAATGAATACCTGACAGGAAGCAACTGTGAAAGGAAGGTTTGTTTTGGCTCATGGTTCAAACCACAGTCCCTCATGGCAGGGAAGGCATGGTGGTGGGTGGTTCCAGGTGGCAGGAACTTGCAGTTGCTGCCTGCCCTGGTCTCCCAGATCAGGAAGTCGAGAGAGCAAACAGGAGCAAGAATAGGTCATAAGTCTCAAGCCCACCCCTCCCCATCTACTTCCTCCAGAAGGACCTCTCCTCCTAAATGCCCCTTTCTAAATCCTACCACCAGAGAATTTCTTTTTGAACATGTAAGTCTATATGAGCCATTTCCCATCCAGACTGTAGCAAAGATGAAATTTATATGTTGAACTTTGTTTCAGATGGCCTTCATGTGGTCCATGCAGCCAGATTGCCATGCTATCACACAGTCACAAGCCAGGGTGAGGGCAATTTGTGATCTCTGGTGTGGGAAAGTTTCCATTTCCTAAGTCTTGGGTCTACCTTTTACCCCATATCTGCTTAGGCCTGTTAGAACCATAGAGCCAATGTTGAAGCTGCCAAATACAGCTTTGAACGCAGGAAACCAGAGGGTGGGATGGATGCTCTATCACTGCTGCATGGTTCTATTTCTCCTGTTATAACCAGAGATCATTCTTGTTATGTAGCCATAGCAACTACATCAGAACAACAACACAGTGGTAGACATGTCTTTGGTAGTGACAGTTGAGTTATTGACACACTTCCTGGAGAGTTTCAGGAGACTATCACACTAGATTCCAGGTACTACTCTCCTTCCCCTAGAGGCAAGTAATCTTGGAAGATGCTAGACCATAGAGAAGTAAAAGGCTGATTAAAATTGAGATGCCATGAAGCAGCATGCAGCAGGTGGTCCTTAGAAATAAGCCATGACTACAAAAGTTGATTGACCAATTATAACTTCAGTGGTGTGGGGAGGTTAGAGTATTACAAAATCCATGGCCAGATTATCTTGGGCCATCTTTAGTATCTTTAATGGCTGTTTATTGTCATCCTCTGTATCTGACCAAACATCTTTGTAATCATTAGGTCAATCACTTGGAACATACAGGACCCAGTTTAAAATCCACCAAAGGGCTAAAAATGCTTTAGACAGGACTTGAGATCTACAATGGAGTTTCCCCCACCTTTCTGTGAGTTGCCTACCTGGTATTTCCTCCAATATATTTGAAAAAGTATGCTATTTTATGACCTTACTTGTCCAGTTACTATAAAATAGTCATGAAATTGCTAGAACATGGCATTAGGGAAAAATTAAATCTGGGTTCCCAGGCCATTGTCACTCATATTCAGTTCCAGAATAAACCATCTCTCCTACTCCTTTGAGATGAGAGTTAATTGTTTGTTCTACAGTATGCTGGGTCTTTTGAGTGATACAGCATGGGAGTGGTCCATGCGCCTCTAAGCAACTCATCTGTACTCTGTGAGAAAGCACAATAAACTCATTGGTCTCACCAAATTGGCCTTTGGTGAATTAATAATTCCATCTGTCATTGGTGTCCATCTGAGGTGACTAGACATTCATTTGTGTTTCCCCTGAAAAAAAGTTGACACAGCAATCACCATAGCAATAGTGCCACCATGAGAACAGAGAAGTACAGGAAGCTGGGGTTGACCTCCAACTTCACAGATGAGGTCTACAGGAGAGGTCTACAGGAAGGTATCCTGTGTTGAAATAAGAACGCTGCCTTGCATGGTTATCTTGAGGTGCAAGTCCTTCCCTCAGCCAGCAGAAAGTCCTGTGACTGTGACAGAGCCTCTTCAGGTGCATATGAGTAAAGCCTCAAGTCAGAAGGGAATGCCATACTCCTCACTGGAGAGAGTAATTTGGAAACTGACAGCAAGTTTACTAATGTGTGCACCCATGTATAACATGAAAGAAGAGTCATACGAAAGAGGCCTCAACTTCAGCTGTTTATTTATTTCACTTTCTGGTCATGGTAGGATCAAACCCAGGACCTTACACATGCCAAGTAAACACCCTACCTCTAGCTGCATCCCTGACTCAGCCAAAATTTTTGTAAATTGTCTTCAATTACTCTTGCACTTTTTAAAGTATTTAGCTCATGTAACATGGATTAAATATCTTCTATTGTATGTGACTACTAGGACCTATTTTTATGAACAAAAATATTTCACATTATAAGTATAACCACATCCAGTTTTCAGAAAGTAAGACTCATTATTTTTTCAAGTAAATGGCAGTAAAATCTTATGATCTCCAAAAAGCTAGAAGTTCTGTGATTGCATTTCTCAGTTTCTGCTGAGATATTAAAGTCCTCTAAGCACTGACTACTTGAGACATCCAGGAGTAGAGGGGGTGGGCA